GGGAACTGTGAAGCCAGAGAGCTGGGAACTGAACCCCGGTCTCTCACATGAGTAGCAGGAATCCAGTTATTTGAGCCATCAGTGCTACCTCCCAAGGTCTGCATTAACAGGATCCTAGGATCAGGAGCAAGAGCTGGGAGCTGAACCCAGGTACTGTAATATCCTAAGTCAGATGCCCATACTCATTAATCATATTTTAAATTGAAGAGATTTTTATTGTTCCCAGGTAATTCTTTTTCCACAGCATGTGCTCTTTGGTTGTTTGAATTGGACTTAGTTTAGAGATGGTTCCAATTTATTTTCCATGGTAGGTGGGACCATGAGCCCTCTAAGCAGGCCTTTCATTTGCCAAACATTTTAGTGAGCTGGCTGCCACTTCTTTGTGGCTTTTTTTGTTTGTTTCATGTTGTTAGGTTAGGAATAGTTCTGCATTCTGGCCTTTTGTACCCCTGGAAAAGAGACCGACTTCAACAGAGACAGGTTGTTTTATTTAAAGTAAAAAGGTTGGTGATAGTATGTTCCTTCGAAGAGTCTGGGCAAAGAGCCCGTTTGGAACTCAGGTTTTATCTGGTCATGAGGGAATTTGCCCCTGTGTGTGGGGGGGGGGGGGGGGGGGGGGGGGGGGCAGCTGGCAGAACAGTAGGGGCCTCTTTGAAGCCCCAGGGAACTTTCCTCTTATCTGTTTCATAGCTGCCCTGTGCAGCTTATCTGTTTGGCCATTTGCTTTGCAAGGAGTCTGGAAGGGTCTGGTTTGGCACCAAGAGTCTCAGCAAAAGGGAGGGAATGGGGGGCAGGGACGCTGCAAATGGCCTTTACATGTGTCCTCATAGGAAGAGGGCTGAGTGTTTCATTTTTAGAGCAAGTAGAAAAGAATCTGTCTGGAAGTTAGTGGTCTGAGAACATAGTTGCATAAACCAAAGGCAGAACTGATGAGGCTTGATTAGGAGGGTCATGGATGTCAACAGGTAGGGCAGGTTTTGGTCTGTTTTCTTAACTGCAAGCTGTTAGGTTTTTAAACCGAGGCTGAGAACGACAAGCAAGACCACTCTGAGCAAGGAAAAGATTATTAAGGGCAAGAACTGCCGAGAGGAGCTCAAGGCTTACATGTAGGCCTCGGGTTTTATAGGGAGCTTGTATCGAGGACGGTGGGAGGTGGCCTGCAGACTGGAGCAGCCTAAGATACCGGTGGGAGGTGGCCTGCAGACTGGAGCAGCCTAAGATACCGTGAGACAGGATGTTTCTGACACACGGAGTTTTGTGGGCTGCCTGATTTATAGCTGGGGCAGCAATGGGAGCAGGGAGGCACAGGATGTCTCCCAGACCTACCAGATTCGTAGCTGGGGGCAGTTGTGGGAACGGTGCGGCACAGTCTCTCAGGCCTGATTTGTAGCTGGGAGGATCATGGGAATGGTGAGGCGCTCCAGGCGCACAGTGCCTCCGTCCTGTTTTCCTGATGCCGGGGAAGAGTGGGGGAGATGTCTCAGACCCGCGTGGATTCGGGACTCTCACACAAGCCTCAGGAGGGGCTAATGGAGAGAATGACGTTAAGACTTTGAAAGATGTCAAGGAGAGCTTCAGTCTAGGAAGAATTGGTTGGGGAGCAAATGGAAGCAGTTTCCTGCCTGGCCTGTGAGGCCCAGGAATGGCCTAGGAAGGGCACCGCTGCCTCTCCTTCCCTGGCGTGGCAACTTGGATGGAGTGTTTCAAGCCAGAAAGCAGCTGCCTCCGTGGCTTTCCGCTTTTCTGTGGGAAAGAAAAGCTTCCTAAATAAGGTGAATAAGGTTACAGGAAAATTAAAAAGGTACTACCGACTTTCCGTGTATGCACCGAGCTTCTCTATACAAGATGTCTTAGTATAATAAAATTAATGAGACATTGTTGTATTAAAATGTGTACTTTATTCCGTTTTCTTTTTCTTTTTTTTTTTTTTTAACTTAATGCCGTTTTCTGCTAGCCTGGGATTCCAAGTACATTTAGTTGCCATGAGTCCTCAGGCTCCCCTTGGCTCATTGCTTGTTTCTGATGACTTTACTGGTTTTGAGGAGTAGTGATCAGGTATAACAGGCCCATCTGTTGGTATTTGTCTGTTTTTCTCATAATTAGACTGGGGTTATGGGTTTGCAGCACTAAGGTCACAGGGGTGAAATGGCATTGTCTCAAGGCTACTTGTATCAACATGCTTTATTACTGTTGATGTTAATCTCAATCACTTGGCAGAGATGGTGTTTTTCAAGTTTTTCCTTTCAAAATTTACTCACTACCTACCCCCAGACTATACACTCACAAGGAAATCTATACAGAGCCTACATTCAAAGGGTCAGAGGTTACCCTCCCCCCCTGCACAATATGCATAAATTATTTGAAACTCTTCTACATGTGAGATTTGTCTGTTCTCTGTTATCCAGACGTATCATTTAGATCATTATGGCTTACGAGTACTTTATAATTTGAGTTATAATCCAGTATTATGTTATCCAGTGACTTACATTGTTACAGCTTTGGCCTTTGGTAGTTCTTTTATTTTACACCTGTGTATCTTTGACATGCTCCAGTACATGTTTTTGTTTACAGGATTCTCCATGCTTATCTTGTATATTTCCTGCCCCAATCATAGAATCAGCCATTGCCCTAGGAAGCATTGTCTCTTTTGTTGGAAAATGGTATTGGAAAAAAAGAACTGGGACCCAGGTGTTCTTTTGCTACTGGGCCATCTTTGCTTTTAGGTCTGCTCAGTTGATAGAATAAAGAAGCATGTGTTTGTACTAACATGTATGTACACATACCTGTAAATATACAAAAATTTTATATATAGCCATCCTCATTTAAATTGAGATAAAGAAATTCATATTTATGTCTCCTACCTTTTTTTTTAGGATTTAATTTATTTATTTGAAAGCCAGAGTTGGGGCAGGGAAGAGACAGAGTGAGATCTTCCATCCACTGATTCACTCACCAAATGGCCGCAATGACTAGAGCTGGGCCAAGTAGAAGCCAGGAGCCAGGAGCCAGGAGCTTCTTCCAGGTCTCCCACCTGGGTGCAGGGGCCTAAGCACTTGAACCATCCTCTACTGCTTTCCTAGGCATTTTGACAGGGAGCTGGATTGGAAGTGGAGCAGCTTGGTGTGATTCTAAAATTTGTGTATTATTGCCTATATCAGCAAGTTTTTTTTTCCTCTCAGAATTATTGACATTTGGGGCTATGGAATTCTTTTCTCCACATGGCTGCCCTGTGCATTGTAGGATATTAGCAATATCCCTAGCCTTAACCCATTAGATGGCTATGTTAGGCAACACTGTCTCCAGACATTACCAAATTTTCCTGTGGGAAAAATATCCCCTGGCCTTTGAGGCTTATAGTGAAAATACTTTGAAGGTAAACTGCATTTGGATTGGGAGAACTAAGTCAAATAGAAAGCTGTGACTGAACTGACTTGAATGTAGTGACTGTCATTTGGCAAACTTGTTAGGGCAACTCTGAACCCTGTGCTTAGGGAGTTTTTCCGAGGAACTCTAGCTCCTGTGTGAAGGCTTTTCCGTCAGGGTTCTTCCTAGACCACCTATGTGAGTCTCATCTCTTATGAACACTTTCACTGGATAAAAATGCCTGTTACCCCTCTTCTACCAAGCCAGGTTTTGTTTGTTTTGCCTTCTGAGTAAATTGGTGCCAAACAGTGAGTCTGAATGTTAAGTTGAGCCTAAAACCCCACGAACACTGTAGACAGGCCCATGGTAAGTCCTAACAAATGACAAGTTTTCAAGCCTCGGAATGTGCTTCTTGATTTATAATAATGAAATGTTTCATTAATCTTTATTATGGTATTTTTTCTGATAATATTGCCAGTTTATTCATTTTATATAGTTTTATTGGTATTTTAATGAGAACTTGGGAATGGATTTTTCAGGGATATGCAACATGAAGTCTTTTTGTTTTGTTTTTTTAAGATTTATTTATTTGAGAGACAGAGTTACAAAGAGACAGAGAGGTCTTCCATCTGCTGGTTCACTCCCCAGATGGCTGCAACTGCCAGAACTGGGTTGATCTGAAGCCAGGAGCCAGGAGCTTTTTCTGGGTCTCCCATGCAGCTCTAGGGGCCCGAGCACTTGGGCCATCCTCTACTGATTTCTCCAGCCATTAGCAGAGAGCTGGATCAGAAGTGGAGCAGCTGAAGCTGAAACTGGTGCCCATATGGGATGCCAACGCTGCAGGCAGAGGCTTAAGCTATTACACTGTGATGCCAGCCCCAACATGAAGCCTTGATAGCCTGAATAGTCTGCCTAAGTATTTGTTTCACCTAGTTGTAAAGCAAAAATGATTGATTACTTGGCACACAAGAAGTCTAATTGCAATTAAATCCTGGACTTTTTTATATCATAAAGCGGTTTCCTTTACCACTTGTTTTGAGTATGTATTTGTTTTGTTTCTGTCATTTTGTGGGGGAAGATGGTTGGAGAAAGGGAAAGCATGGTCTGTTCTAAGAAAGGAAAACAAAAATGGGAAGTAAGAGGTCAGTCAGCGCTGTGCTGCAGGGGTTAGGCCATCGCCTGTGATGCAGCATCCCACATGACTGCCAATTAGAGTCCTGGCTGCTCCACTTCCAATGCAGCTCCCTGCTAATAGGTCTGGGCAGGCAGTGGAAAATGGCCCAGGTGCTTGGGCCCCTGCCGTTGGAGACCCTGATGGAGTTCCAGGCTCCTAGCTTCAGTGGCTAGCCCCCGCTGTTCTGGCCATTTGGGGAATGGAAAGTATCTGTCACAGTCTTTCAAGTAAATAAATCTTTTAGAAATGGAAAGTGAATCTGTAATTATTTTCCTTAAGAAATATAAGAATATTATTTGTTCTATTTTATATTTTAGCACTATGCTGATAGAGTTTGTTATAAATATCTTTTTTTAGTCTCTCTGATGGCTAGATACTAGCTTTGTATCTGAAGCTCCTGGAACTTTTATCCAAACTGTGATATAACCTAGTTCAAATCATACTTCCTATGCTGCTTAGGTGCTTAGGCCAAGGCTGACAAGTACTGGAATCCTCTACAAGACGGATTTGAACCGCAGTGGCAGTTCTGTTTAGGAAAATGCAGCTTCTGAGCAAGTTGATGGCTATCGCAAAACCTCACAGCCTTGCTCTACAGGAACAAAGTGAGATCCTGAGAACAGATGTGTCTTGGCAGCAGGAAACTATCCCTGTCACAGAGACATGTGACCCCGAGGCATCTCGTCAAAAGTTCAGAAATTTCCAGTATTTGGAGGTATCTGGCCCTTATGAAGCCCTGAGCCAACTCTGGGGACTCTGTCTTCAGTGGCTGCAACCAGAGATTCATACCAAGGAGCAGATTCTGGAACTATTGGTGCTGGAACAGTTCCTAACAATTGTCCCTGAAGAAGTCAGGACTTGGGTCAATTTACAGCACCCAAAGAACAGCAAAGATGTGGTTACCCTCATTGAGGACGTGATTGAAATACTCAAATATAAAGGTAAGAATGTAGAACATTAGAAGTAGAATAGTTGAGCCTTCCCATATCCAGAGAAATTATCTGAGTGTGGAGAATGTCTAGTGCCAGACCATGTAGGACTTTATATTACTCTAATAGGAAACCTAATTACTTTAAAGATAATGGAAATAAAGAATGATTGAGTAGGAGTAACACAGTTTCATTGACCTTTTAAAAATAACCAATTGGTCTCAACTGGGAGCAGGGTTTGCAAAATATGGCCTATGGGAACAATACTTCTAGAGATAAAATTTTATTGGAACATAGCCACATCTGTTCATTTACATTTTCTCTATTGTGGCCTCCATGTTATAAGAGGGGCTGAGTAGTTGTAGCAGAGGCTATATTGCCTGCCAAACCCAAAATATTTATAATCTGACCCCTTGTGGAAAAAGATAACCAACTTCTCAGATAAAGGTTATATTTGATGGATATGTAATAGAAAAATTTGTTAGGAGACTAGTAATAAGATTAAGTATTAGAGAATAAAGGTGAACTGAGAAAACAGAGGTTTGGACTTAAAGGAATTACCACATTCAAATAAGTATAAGGAATGCACAGGATAAGAGTTGAAGTAAAGTCATGTTTTCTGGCTTCTATGAATGGAACAAAAGTAGCAAATTTTGCTCGATGGAGTGGTGTGGAAACGATAATAGGATAACATATTATGTATATTGCATGTTGAATTTGACATTCCTAAGAGACCTCAATGAATGCATCATATATATATATATGTTTTATTTTTTGCATATAGTTAACAAGTATAGTTTTGCTATTTGGTAAGAGAAGCTTGGAGAGTTTATGTGTGTAAACAGAAGTAGGAGAAATACAGATCCTCAAGAACCATCAATATTTAGTAGATCTCACTACTAGTTACAGGAAATACTCACACAGAGGATAGAGGAACATACTAAACTACATAACAATACCATTAGTAAAATCCAAACTGTGGGAAACATATGACAGTCCAGGTTCCAAAGGAGAAGGGAGGAGTATAGCAGAAAGATTTAGAGATGAAGAGAAACTTTATCAGTCACGTGAATATGTGGGCGTTGTACTACACTAGACAATTGACTGAATATTTGACAAGGAATTATTTGGGACAGTGATTATATTGGTATTATAATATTTAGTCCTTATCTAAATATAAAATAAAGGGGCAGCATTATGGCATAGAGGGTTAAGCCACTTCATATGATGTCAGCATCCCATATGAGCACCAGTTTGAGTCCCAGCTGCTCCACTCCCAATCCAGCTTCCTGCTGATACGCCTGGGAAAGCAGTGCTTGGTCCCCTGCTACCCACATGGGAGACCCAGATGAAGCTCCTGGCTCTTGGTTTTGGCCTGAAACAGCCCTGGCCATTGTAGGCATCTGGTGGAGTAAACCAGTGGATAGAAGATCCTCTCTATCTCCCTCTCTCTAACTCTGACTTAAAAAATAAATCTTTTAAAAATAAATATAAAATAAAATGAAGAACTGAGGAAGAGAAGTCAAATCAGGAAAGCAGGACAGAAAGGAATAATCTAGGAATTCAAAGAACCAGGAAAGTTGGGTGTCTTTAATAAAGGCGAAATCTTCAAGAAGGAAGTGTTCAAAACTGATGAACCCAAAATTTCCTATTAACTATTGAAAATGTATCAAAATTGTTGATTATGAAGGAATATTTAAATTTTTGTTTATTTGAAAGACGAGAGTTCAAGCAGTTTGAGGAGCTGAGAAAGTGTCTACAGAGAGATGTAGTAGCTTTCTACTGTTACTATACCAAATTACCAGAAATTTGGTGGCTTAAAACACAATGCATGTATTTTTTCTGTAAGTTTGTGTAGAGATCCAACATAGATCTCCCTATGCTAAAATCAAGGTAATGGTAGGACTGTGTTACTTTCTGGGGCTTACGGTCTCCTGACATTTTCAAAGCTGGCAATAGAGGGTCAAGACCTTTTTACACTGCCGTGTCTCTGACACTTTGTTCTGTTGTCACAACAGCTACCCCCCCCCCATTTCTCTCTCTCTCTCTCTCTGATTTATTTATTTATTTATTTATTTGAAAGTCAGAGTTACACAGAGAGAGAAGGAGAGGCAGAGAGAGAGAGGTCTTCCATCCACTGGTTTACTCCCCAGTTGCCCTCAGTGGCTGGAGCTGCGCTGATCTGAAGCCAGGGGTTTCCTCCTGGTCTCCCACGTGGGTGCAGGGGCCCAAGGACTTGGGCCATCTACTGCTTTCCCAGACCATAGCAGAGAACTGGATGGGAAGTGGAGCAGCCGGGATATGAACCAGCACCCATCTGGGATGCCGGCTTTGCCCACTACGCCACAGCGCCAGCCCCTCACTTCTCTTTCTTTCTTTTACTTTCCCTACCTCATTTCTTCCTCCTTCTCCAAATGGGAAATTTTTTTCACTTTTCAGAACTGATTTAATTATATTGGACTGCCCAGATAACCTGAGTTGATCTCCCATCTCATTTTGAAGTTCTTGACTTTAATCATACCTGTAGAATCCCTTTTGCATGTATCTGGTATCTGAGGATTATGGTGTATACACCTTTTGAAGCTGTTATCCTGTCCACCACATGGGTTTAAACAAACAAACAGAAAAATAGATGTGAGGTAAAAATGTGACAGTGATTATAGGCTACTGTTGAGAACTTTGGTTAGGAAGAAAATGTGAGGCTACAGGTTAATATAAGACTATGGAAAATTTTTGATTGTTTCGTTTAACCTATTTTATGGTTTCCTGAAAACCTTGCTTGAATGGCTAAGATGGCAACCTGAGGTTCATTTGTCAAAAACGTTGAATAGAAAATGTATTAGCCACAGCGACATGAGATAATGAATAACTATCCGGGCAAACAGAGTGTAACTGAAAAGATTAAGAGGAAAGACTAGAAAATGTGAGATGCTTTGGAGATTAAGGAATTTGAAAAGCTCCCATTTATTTTTGAGTATCTGGAAGTCTGGATATTCAGTCAAAAATCAAATAGTACTGGAACTATTTGATATCCCTATATGCAAAGGATTGCAGTAGGAGCTTTACATCATTACTGTGTGCAAAAATTAACTTAAAATGGATCAATGACCTGGATATAAGACTAAAACCATAAAATTCTGAGAAGAAAACATAGGGTTAATTCTTCATATCTCTCTCTCTCTCTCTCTCTTTTTTTTTTTTTTTTTTTGGACAGGCAGAGTTAGTGAGAGAGAAACAGACAGAGAGAAAGGTCTTCATTCCGTTGGTTCACCCCCAAATGGCTGCTATGGCTGGCGTGCTGCGGCCAAAGCCAGGAGCCAGGTGCTTCCTCCTGGTCTCTCATGCAGGTGCAGGGCCCAAGCACTTGGGCCATCCTCCACTGTCTTCTCCAGCCACAGCAGAGAGCTGGACTGGAAGAGGAGCAACCAGGACAGAATCCAGTGCCCCAACCGGGACTAGAACCCAGGGTGCCAGCGCCGCAGGCGGAGGATTAGCCTAGTGAGCCAGGCGCTGGCCTTTCATCTCTTGCATTTATTAATTGATGCTTAGATATAACAAAAAATAAATTAGACTTCATCAAAATTAAAGATGTCTTTACATCAAAGGACACTGTTAAGGTATTGAAAGGGAAGCCTACCTAATGGGGGAAATATTGTATTAAAAATAATGAGTTCTGGGGGCTAGCACTGTGGCGCAGTGGGTTAATGCCCTGGCCTGAAGCTCCGGCATCTCATATGGGCACCAGTTCGAGACCTGGCTGCTCCACTTCCAATCCAGCTCTCTGCTATGGCCTGGGAAAGCAGTAGAAGATGGCCCAAGTCCTTGGGCCCCTGCACCTGTATGGGAGACCTGGAAGAAGCTCCTGGCTCCTGGCTTCGGATCAGCACAGCTTTGGCCGTTGTGGCCATCTGGGGAGTGAACCAGCAGATGGAAGACCTTTCTCTCTCTCTGCCTCTCCTCTCTCTGTGTAACTCTGACTTTCAAATAAATAAATAAATCTTTTTAAAAAATGAGTTCAGTATCAGGAAAATATAAAAATCTCTTATAACTCAGTAACAAAAGTGATAGGCAACATGATTTTTTAAATGGGCAAAGGAGTTAGACATTTCTCCAAAGAAGATATACAAATGGCTGAATAGGGTACAATAAATGTTCAGCTTTATTAGCTATCAGGGAATTGCAAATCCAAACCACAATCATATGCCACTTGGCAGCCATCAGAATGGGTATAAATTCTAAGAAAGGAAAATAATAGTGTGAGGCAGGATGTGGAGAGACTGGAATCTTTATACATTGCTGTTAAGAATGTAAAATAGTTCAACCCCTGTGGAATACAAATAGTTCCAAAAATAAACAAAAAACAGAATTACTTTATCCTAATTAAAGACACATTGACACAAAAATTTGTATAAAATGTTCCTAGCAGCTTTAGTCAAAATAGAAACAACCAAGATGTTCATCAGCTGATGAAAGAGTAAATGTGCATACAGAGGTACTTTTGAATACTATTCAGCAACAACCTGAAATGAAGTACTGATACATGTACCACATGAATGAATCTCCAAAACACACTAAGCGAAAGACATTACAACATGAAAACTCAGATACCATTTGATTCCGTTTACATAACATGTCTGGAATTGGCAAACTAGGGAAGAAGGGAGACTGGGAAGTGACTCCTAAATGGGTATAGGAAAAGAGTAGACTATTGGATTAAAAACTAAGACTAGATGCTGGCTTGAGTCTAAAGACATTGTTCAAGGAATCTGAACTCTGGAAAGAGTGCTGGAAGTGATTTATCATGAAATTTAAGCTGCATAGAGAATGAAATGACTTTACAATGTACTGTGGTAGTATAGAAAGTACAAGGAAATGAAGACCAAAAGAATAGAAAGATATAATTAAGGATTGATTTGTTGAAGTCTAGTCTCATGGTAGGGTAATTCTAAGTACCAAGAACCAGAATATGAACAATTACATGGATTGGTTGCTGATGGTTTTAAGAAATAAGAATCTCAAAGGTACATTTGGGGTGTTGGGAGGATTGTGTATACCAGTGTACATTTAATGTATTCCAACATCAAGAATCAGAATACTTGGAGAACAGGCAGGATTCATTTGATAAGGGAGAAAAAAGCTTATATAAAGAATTTGAAAACGTTTATAGATATTTGAATAGAGTTAGCGTTTCAGAGAATACAACTGCAAAAATTGGAGGAGGTCAGCAAAGAAGAAGAATTAAAGGAAAGAAACAAGATATCTAGAGAGCGGTGAAGAAGAGAATAGCTGACTGAAGTTATTTGTAATTTTCCAAGATACCATTTATTTCCAAGAATGACAAGAATAAGAGACAATGTTATACTCCCTGTCCTATAGAATATGGAACTGAGCAGAATGAGATTCCACAGGATACTTGAGACCTGAGCAAAGTTAACAGACCATAATAATTTTGCAGGGTTTAGATGTTATGTTGTTGAGAAATTTGAAAGTGTTTTAAGTCCCACTATGCAGATGTTTCAAATATCTTTGGATCCAATTACACATTTACAGTGGAGGGTCAATGCTTTTTGTTATGTAACCGCATGTATCTCAGGTTTTCAGTATTGGAAACTGAAATGTTTAAAATAAGGAAGGTGGGAATGATATAGGTTTGTCAACTCCTTTTTCTTATATGTAAGGATATTTATAAAATCAATAACTATTACAGAAAGGACATTTTAACATCAAAATATAGCTGTTTAGATTGAATAAATGTGATGCTATAATAGACTTACCATATTGGTTTTTTGTTTTTTCTCATTTCACACTGAATCAGTAAAAACCTCATCATGACCAGTGTTGGTCTGTAGTGTGGCATTTCAAGATCACTGGTGTGCCTTATGAATCATGAAGAAACTTTAGAAAAGTGGCCCTTGTGTATACTACTTACCAAAGAGCTGTAGAAGAAAAAAAGGATCGGTCAACTCAGATTTTTATGTCCTAAAAAGAATCAGTAGTTCAAGGAGGTAAGACCGCCTAAGTGTATAGTGTGCAGAGAGTAAGGAGGAGAAAGTTGACCTTCAAATAGAATTCTTCTTGAATCATACACTCTTTGAGGACGTGACTGGTTGGATAAATATTTGTAGCTTTAAGTAGAATTACAGTCTGTGGTGTCTAAACTTTAGTTTGGCTGTAGCCACAAATGAGGTTTCAAAACATTTTGTCCCTCTTCTGTCTGATCCAGTAGATCTCAACCCCCAGTTAAATTTCAGAATTTCAGAATCATTTTGAGGTGTTTTTTTATTATTATTATTACAAGATCTGTGCCCTGCCCTTGGAGATTCTAATTGCTCATAGGGTTCGACACCGGTTTTTTTCAACATTCTACAGGCGATTCCTATGAATGGCATGTTAAACTATAATGTTTAAAGAGTTGGTCTGCAGCAAAACTTGTCTCCATAATATTTCTCCTTTCCTTCCTCAGAAACACCCTGCAAGGACTCTGTCCTCCAGAAGGGGGTCATCAGGAAGGAGAAAATGGAAACTGACTCACTAAGAGACGAGCTCCAGGTGAATTAGGGTCCCATTCTTTACTGAACACATACACTCCTTTTTAGCATGACCTGCTTTTACCTTTTTGGCAAATATAGTTCTGTCTAAGGTTATAAGACTCCTATTTTCCCACAGAATTGTGGACTTATTTTAATTAGGAATACACTCTGGAAATATTTTCTCCTAGTCTTATACGTTATACTCTGTGTACTTTTTCCCTCAAGAATATAGAAGATAATTAAACAACAATAATAGAGTCTACCCTGAGGATGTTCAGAAAAGTAATGGAGACTCAGGAGTAGAATGAGCAATGTCATTTACTAGACAGTAATAGAAGAAACCTCAAAGGAAACTGAAAAGAGAAGACCAAAGACAGAAGCTCTGGTCGCTGAAACCAGAGGATGAGAATACTTCAAGGAGAAATGCTTGAAAAGGGCCAAATGATGCAGCCCAAGTAGAGTCTATTCACTTGTCATCATGGTGACATGAACGTGCAGGGAACTTGAAGCCAGGTGCAGTGGTTTGAGGAGAGAAAGTGAGGGAGTAGGCAAGTAATATAGACGATGTAATCATGAAAGCTGACCTTGAAGGGAAGACGGAAAAGGAAGGGAGACAAGAGATTGTTATGAGGATATTTCATGTATTTCATGTTATGAGTATATGAATGAGGGTAAGCGATTGTGTTCTTCACTGTGATTAAAGGTGTCAGTGGAAACTAAGGTGAGGATTCTGGAGACAGAATAATTGACGGTGTGAGATATGAGGGAGCTTATTTATTAACAAATACTTAGGCAGTGCCTAATACATTAGACACTACTCTAAGGGTTGAGAATATTACTGGTAAATAAAACCCCCACCCTCTGTAGATTATATTCCAGTAGAGGTTTATGGGCATATACAAGCAAGGAAGATAATTGCAGATAGTAATAATTACTGCAAGAAAAAAAATAATGCAATACAGACCAACTAGGAGGGAAGCTACTTTGGGTAAATGAGGTATGAATAATAGCATAAGTCAACCAATGAAGCTGCCTTATCTCTTCTACCAGCAGAGCCTACATTTTCATTATAAATTTCCCTTGAATCTACTTTATACTCTTCTACTCTTCCTACTCTAAATTTCTTTTATGTAAATTCTTTGTACTGTAAAGTACACAATTATTTCAGCTATCTTTTTCTCCTCAAAGTGTACACTAATCTCAAATAAGCTAGGACTGTACTTACTTTTCCCTTCCTCTTGTAGCCTCCATTTCTATATATAGTTCCAAGTTGATTGGCTCTTAATATGATTTGATTTTCATCACTTAGAACAGTAAACACTGTACACTATTGATTTCTTATATAGTCTGGATCCAATCCTATTTGTAAAATCATCCCTCTGGTGATACGTGTGGGAATGACCTTATATTTTAGGAGCCAGTGACATTCAAAGATGTGGTTGTGGAATTCAGCAAGGAAGAGTGGGAGCAGCTAGACTCTGCTGGCAAGAACCTGTACCGGGATGTGATGTTGGAAAACTACAGGAACCTGAATTCATTGCATGAAGGTAGAGCCGATGGATTTGTCTCATCTGCCCTTTAGTGGTTTCTTCCTCTACTCTTTAAAGCTACAGGACTGCTGAAGTGGTTGTATTCACTTGGGGGTGGGTTCAGATTTCCTCATATCCTTTGGCCACAATAGCAGATTTTCCTGCTGTCTGGTTTAAAGTCCTTCATAATGGAGAACCAGAAATACACAGCCCATGGTGTTCATTTGGCCTTGTCCTTGGCAGCTCGACTTACTTGGTTGGGACAGAATTATCTCTCCTTTAAAAACACTCAAGTGTCATGTTCATTTCTTTTTATTGTTTTTTTTTTTTTCCCTCCCTGTGAACACCAAACCAGTTGAGATCCCAAAGTTGCAAAGCAAGAAAAATAGATAGATAATGGAAAGAGAAATTGGAAGAAGAACCATTTTTGATAACAGTCAGACAAATAATGTTTTTTAATGCATGAGACAAAATGAATCTTTAGTTTGGGAGGTAACAACAAAACTACCTAAATTTTGAGGGAGTCAGGGGAGGCATTGTTTTCTTATGTGACAGTCATGTCATGGATTATAACCAAACACTTCAAGTTGTGTGAGTAACCTGGGGCAACCTGTCTGCTGATTTCATCTATAACATGATAGATTGTACCTACCTCCAAGTTACCATAAGGGTGAAGTGAGTTGATATATATAACACAATTAGAACAATGCCTGACACATGGTAAGTGCTAAATAACAAACATTAACCAACCTAACACTGAATATTATTCTTTCTTTTATATTTTATTTATTTGAAAGGCAGAAAGAGAGAAAACTTCCATCTTCAAGTTCACTCACCAAATATCTGTAACAGCTAGGTCTGGGTAAGGCCAAATCCAGGCAGCAGGAACTCAATACTAGTCCCCAGGTAGATGGCATGGACTAAAGTTCTTGACCCATTGCCTGCTGCCTCCCAGGATGTACATTAACAAAAAGCTGGAATGGAGAGTGAAGCTAAGCCTCAAACCCAGACATTCCAATATGGCATGTGGACATCCCAAGCATCAACTGAACTGTGCCATATACCTGCCTCTTTTTTAAAAAAAGATTTATTTATTTGAGAGGGAGAGTTACAGACAGAGAGGGAGAGACAACAGGAGAGGTTTTCCATCTGCTGGTTCACTCCCCAAAAGGCTGCAGCAGCTGGAACTGGGCCAGTCCGAAGCCAAGAGCCAGGAGCTTCTTCCAGGTTTACCACGTGGTTGCAGGGGCCCAAGGACTTAGGCCATCTTTGGCTGCTTTCTCAGGCCATTAGCAGGGAGCTAGATCAGAAGTGGAGCAACCAGGACTTGAAGTGGAGTAGCCAGGACTCGAACTGGCGCCCTTATGGGATGCTGGTGCCACAGGTGGAGGCTTAACCAACTATGCCACAGTACTGGCCCCCTACCACTTATTCTTAAAACAAAGGAATCTGTTCCATACTAGGGTGATGTCTAGTAATCTTCTGTTTTGCTTCTTTCATTGTACAACTTCTTGTGTATTAACTCCAGACCATCATCATCATCTCTTTATTCTTATTAACAGAGATTGTAAAATTACTTAACAATTAATTTATTTTGTTTTCTTATGTGACAATCATGTCATGGATTATAACCAAACACTTCAAGTGGTGTGAGTAACCTGGGGCAACCTTTCTGCTAATTTCTTCATCTATAACATGATAGATTGTACCTACCTCCAAGTTACTATGAGGGTGAAGTGAGTTGATATATATAACACAATTAGAACAATGCCTGACATAGTAAGTGCTAAATAACAAGCATTAAAGTGACAGTTAACAAACACTAAAACATTTATTGTTAAATAAAAAACATTAACAAGCATACAAAATTATGAAGAAAAATAAAACTCACCTATATTACCTTATTATCCAGAGCTACAGTATTAACATTTTGGTTTAATTTATTAGAGTGATTTTCTTTGTTTGTTGGTATTATGTCTATAGTTTCTAAAGATTTTTTTTTCCAAACTGGTGGAACTATTTTCAACTTTTTTTCTGTAATTCATCATGAATATATCATTTTATGTCTTGCTGTTTTCATCTAATATGGTATCATGCACAATTACCTGTTTGGCTAAATGGTCTGTGAAAATGTATTTTCTAAAACACATGTGACATTCTGTCATGATGCATTTTCCCACCATTGGACATTCAGTATGTTGCCAGTTTTTCAGGTGTATCTGATGACTTTCATAGGGTACACCTACTATTAGGTGAACTTTAGCATCAAAGAGTATAAATATATTTACCTATCTTGCTACAAAAAGATTATATAACCAATTCATACTCTAATTTTTACTGTCACCCTAGCAAACACTAGGTATTATTTACTGTCGCTCCCCGTCTTCGTGGAGGAACGACACTAAACCCTGCCTAGGCTTCATATCCGAGTCACGGCACCATTATGTCGCTCCCCGTCTTCGTGGAGGAACGACACAGGACCCTGCGCTGTTCTTTCGTCTCCTCGGCCCTCCCCGGGTTTGCTGCTGGTTCTTCCCGGGTTGGCTACCAACCCTTCCACCTCCGTGGAAGGGCGGTTCCCCCTGCCACATTCCCCACTTCCGCGGGGAAGCGGCACACCGCCGGCCGGCTCTCTCGGGGGCTGCACAGGTGTTCCTTCAGATAGATGTTCCTGGTGCATGTTGTCTCTCTCCTCCTTTATAGTCCTCTTCCGCCAATCCCAGCTTGGCTGCCCACACGCCGAGTACGCTGCTCTCCTCCAATCAGGAGCAGGATCAGCTCCTGGAGGTCATCACTCAAGTTGGCAAGAGGCAGCTGCGTAGAAGCTGTTTTCTCCTCTCCCAGCGCCATATTGTGGGAGAGCAGATGCATAGAATAAGTCTTAATTCCAGTAACTCAGTCCAGTCCGGGTTGCTCCCCACAATTTACCTAAATTATTTATAAATTTGGTAGGCAAATTAATCTTACATCTTCTTTTCTATGTGAAATTGTATCACTGCAACCCACTTCTTTGAACCTCATTTCTCCTTGACTTTTCTTATATTTTCACATTGTCTGTCTTATCTTCCCATTAGCTTTTTAACATTTCCTGGTTGTTACTAATTTTTTGATGTTTCTCTCACCTACATCCTTTTTGATTATTCTATTTCTCACCTCTTCTTAATAGCCACATTTCTCAAGGTGCTTTTTGCTTTTTTTATTTCCTTACCTCTGATCCCTTAACTCATTCCAAATTAGCTCTTATCCAAAACATTCATCTAAAATCATTGTTGCTAAAGTCTTTAATGACTGACCCTATTGTAGTTAACTCCGGTGGGCATTTTTTTTAGCCCCTATCTCACTTCTCAATAGCCAGTGAGGCTGTTAACAGTTCCTTATTCTTAATTCGCTCGTAGATTCTTCTGATACTCCTGATTTCTCTCTATTTTTTCTGGCTGTTCCATCTATGTCTGTTATAGACGTATCTTTCCCTAGCTTTTCAACTGAACATTTGATCTCATTTTGTCTTTTCTTCTTCCCATATTTTCTTTTCTAGTGTATCATATCCACAACTCTAACTTCCAGTTACCACATATATAGGTGATAAAGATAACTTACAGTATATATTCCTAGTATCACTGTACCCCATTCTGTCGACTAAAGGTACAGGATTAGCCTAGATTAAAGTGAAAGAAAAATGAACTCAGCTTCTATATAGAGAGAGTGAAAAAGAATGTATAACCATTTTGGTCTTTCAAAGTCTATCCTCTCTGAATACAAATTATCTGTGTTCTTTCCCTCTGTAAAACATATGAGTATTTATTGTTTCCTAAGACTCCAAAAGTCTCATTCAATTGTGGTGTCAAGGTTGAATTCTAGGATCTCATGATTTAATATATTCCAGGTTTGGAAGAGTTGTGTCTGTCTCTCTTTTTTTCTCTAAAGACCCTTCAATTAAAAGGACAAGTTATTTGCCAACTTATACATTATACTCTGTTAAGGCAGAGTCGGGAAAACTATTTACCTCTATTATACTGAAATATTCCTACCCAGGAGATTATGATTTAATATTCTATCTCCCAGCATGGATGTTATACCAGCAAATGATAATTTCTACTAGAGAGTAGACAAATCCAGAATGAACTGATATATACTTGACAAAGCTGGAGGTTCCATTGGATCAGATTTGTGATAAAAGCCATTTCATGAAATAATATTGCCTAAACACAAATTAGATTATGAGAGATAAAGAACAATAGTTATTGCAGATCTCTCCATGGACTCTACTATAAATATCCGAGTAGCAATGGCTCATTGAACAAAAGCAAAGATATTGAAGGAAGTTCAAAGTGATGATAAAATGTTTCCCATTTTTTAAATTGGAAGAGAGTGGGATGATAGCCAAGTAGAGATGTCCTGGAAACTAGCCAAAACAATAGAGAGTAATATATGCGAGTACCAAACTGAAGTAGTCATTTGGCTACCAATAAAGCATCGAGGATAAAATCATTAGGTGAACCTAAAGTTATATGAAAAAGAAGGGAAGTCAGTGAAATTTAAGTTTTAAAAAACTACTAGAGTATGTAATCTATATAACCTAAGATTACATATTTATATAAGATATATATAAGATATATAACATACTTATATATAAGATATATATGATATATTACATACTTATATAAGATATATATGTGTATATATAAGATACATACATATATGTATCTTAGATTATATATCTTAGATATATAAGAGGCAAAAGAATTTTGAGTAGGGAAGTAGAACATTATTAAATGAAACAAACTTATGACAGATGAAAGGAAGATAGCTCAACCTTAATCAGAACAAGCAAAGTTTTCTATTCTAGGAAGTGCAGTTAAAAGCATCAAAGCACTAATGTTATAATTAGGAGTTATTTTGAGTCCAGAAAAAGGATAGTTTCCCTGCTTCCTTTTATTACAGTTATTTCTGCCTTTCTGCATACAGGAAGTAATTGCTACTATATGAAACTAGGTGCATTATGATTGAAAGTTTGCTTTTAGCAGTTAAACTATTGTGCTTCTGAGTATAAAGTTATGATTAAATTGGCATTTTAGAAATGGATGTAATCAACAAGTAGCTTGGATTAGAATAAGATGTCAGAGAAAGGAAGATTAGATATAATCTTCACAGAGTAGTTATATGCCAATGATACCTTGAACTATGATATGTTCCATTCCAGACCATGTACTAATGTTTTACCTGAGACCTATACGCTCTCCTTAATGTTTCTAAATAGCTCTCCTTGTGTTGTATGATTTACTAATCCCCTTTTAACACTTTTATGCCATTTTTAAATTTTATTTCTCCTTTTCAAACCTTGCCTCACATCTCTTCTGTATTTTAAGACCTATGTATTTAATCTTACATCCTTTAACCTGTTTCCTAATTAAGCAGTTTCTCTTCTTATACTCAGAGTTTTTTATTTCTTTTTAGACATGGAGTCTGTTTCAGAAAACCAACTTTCAGTTCCAAAACAGAGAGTTTCTGGAGAAGAATCATTCCCTGGAATAATTGTGACAAAGCTTTTCAGAAGCAGACACCCTTCCTTAGCTCTCCAGAAAGATGAAGATTGGTTACACAGGAACCAGAACAAGCAGTATGTAAATTTGCCACAAGAAGCTTTCATTCTTGAGACAATGGACAATGAGGGAGACTCTGAATGTAGTGAAAATCAGAAAAGTGTTGATATGAAGTCAGTTAACTCAATTTATGATATTCAACAGGGAATTCCTGTAAGAAATCAATTCCCAAAGGAAGATAAGTTTAAAACTAACTTCAAATTTAATCTAGACTCAGGAGATAAACTGCATTCAGAATATAATTTATGTGGAAATGCCTTGAGTCCAAGTATAGATACAGTTCTACAGCAAAAAAGTCATACCACAGTGAATTTCTATGAATGTTATCAATGTGGGAAAGCCTTTAGCCGAAGTTCATCCCTGATCCGACATCAGATCATTCACACAGGAGAGAAACCCTACAAATGCAGTGAATGTGGGAAGTTCTTCAACCGACGCACAAACCTTACTAAGCATCAAAAGACTCATACTGCAGCAAAGGCTTGCCAAGAAAGTAAATGTGGGAAAGCCTTCAAAAACAGTGAGGACCATAATAGAAATCCAAGACTGCATTCTGGAAGTTATCCTTATGAATGTATTGACTGTGGAAAATGCTTCAACCGCAGCTCTTCCCTTATTCGACATCAAATGATTCACACAGGAGAGAAGCCATTCACATGTAAGGAATGTAATAAAACCTTCAACAGGCATTCAAACCTTAGTAAACATCAGAAACTTCACACTCGAGTTGAATCCTGAAAAGCAAGAATTATGGAATTACCTTTGATCAAACTCATTCAGCATCCATGAATTTATGTTGGAGGGAATCTGTGACTATATACTAAGTGTAAGGAAACATTTGTCAGATATTATTCTGTAATGATATGACAATATGATTAATATTGGATAAAAGTCTGTTATTGAATAGAAATTTGTTTGAGGGAACGTTTCCAGATTTTCAAATAAAGCCCAAGGGTTTTCAGTTAAACATAATATTGCAAGTCTCTCTATCATTGTTTTGGTATCTATTCCCCTCACATTTTTCAAGTTTATAGATGAGATCTATAGCATACCTGCATTCACTTGATTTATTGTTGAGCCAAGTAAAACTGAATTTGATAATAAAACTTAAACTGTCAGTCATTATGAGAAGATCACAAGAAACCAGGGGTTTATGGGAATATGAGAGAAGACTTCTGATGACTGAAAAGTCTGAATTATTGGCACTGAATGCCAATTTCTTCATCCCTGGCAGTATCCTTGGCTATCCTGGTGCTGAATGGGGACTAGAATTGAACAGTGTTATTAACTGCAATGAGAGATGGATCTGTTGTTATTAATCTATATGTATTCCCAAAATCTACATTTGTTTAAAGTGCTTTTGGGGTTCTAGGCTGGACAGAGATGCATAGCCTTAGGTCTGGCATTATCTCAGACATTATGAAGTCAATAAAGTGTCCTTATGCTCCAAGCACCAGAACTGTCTACTATGTAAAGTGACTTCAGAATCCCAAATGTTTCCTTGAGCTAAGAAGCTTCATCCTAGAGATATTCTCAATGAGTGATAATTGTGGCATTTTGTCAGAGTTTGATATTCAAAAATAGAAAAGGTGGACCCCATAAAGGGTTGATAAATATGCAAAATTATTCTGTGTATTTGTTCATTCTTTACATCATAATGTACTGGGACAAAACCCCACACAAGATATTAAATGGAAATTCATACAAACATAAGGCAACTTTTAGGATCCTAATGAAACACTCTGAATATAAGAATTTCTTGAAGTGTAGTTCGTGTAGTTCATTCATCAAAGGACTTATTGACATATTAAGTAAAATGGATTCTGATTTTTTTCTGATTTTAGGTATTCTAAACTTTTTTTTTAAAAGATTTTATGTATTTATTTGAGAGGCAGAGTTACAGACAGTGTGAGAGAGAGAGACAGGTCTTCCTTCTATTGGTTCACTCCCCAGGCAGCTGCAACGGCTGGAGCTGCGCTGATCCCAAGCCAGGAGCCAGGTGCTTCCTCCCAATCTCCCATGTGAGTGCAGGGGCCCAATGGGCCATCCTCCACTGTTCTCCCAGGCCACAGCAGAGAGCTGGACCAGAAGAGGAGCAATTGGAACCTGAACCTGACGCCCATATGAGATGCCAGTGCCGCAGGCAGAGGATCAACCTAGTGCACCAAGGTGTCAGCCCCCTAAACTTAATTTTGTATAAGTTGTGATTTTTTTTCCTATGGGTGGTCAAAAAATAAAAGTCCTATTTTAATCTTTTATAATATCTTTTTCTCAACAGCAAGCTATTTGGGTCTACAAGTAAGATTTTTTTTTCCTTAAATCTCTTAAAATTTCTTTTAAAAATTGCTTGCTATATTAACTAAGTTAATAACTTTAAAGCTTCAAATAATACCATTTTAGAGTACATTTAAAATTTAATTTTTAAAAAGATTTTATTTGAAAGGCAGAGCTACAGAGAGGCAGAGACGGGGTGGGGGGGGGGGCGGAGGGCAAGGGAGGTCTTCCATCCACTGCTTCACTCCCCAAATGGCCACAATGGCCAGAGCTGGGCCAATCCAAAGCCAGGAGCCAGGAGCTTCTTCTGGGTCTCCAACGCCGGTTCAGAAGCCCAAATACTTGGGCCATCTTCCACTGCTTTCCCAGGCCATAGCAGAGAGCGGGATTGGAAGTAGAGCATCCAGGTCTTGAACTAGCACCCATATGGGATGCCAGCACTGCAGTTAAACTCACTACGCCACAGTGCCGGCTCCAAAATTTAATTTATTTTAAATTAATTTGACAGGTAGAATTGTACACAGTGAGAGAGAGAGAGAGAGAGAGAGAGAGGAAGGTCTTCCTTCTGTTGGTTAACTCCCCAAATGGCCGCTACGTGCTGATTGAAGCCAGGAGCCAGGTGCTTCTTCCAGGTCTCCAATGCAGGTGTAGGGGCCCAAGCACTTGGGCCATCCAACACTGCCCTCCCGGGCCACAGCAGAGAGCTGGAGTGGAAGAGGAGCACTGAGACTAGAACCTGGCGCCCATATGGTATGCCAGCACCGCAGGTGGAAGATTAACCAAGTGAGGCACGGCGCCAACCCCCAAAATTTTAATTCTTACAGAATATTTACATCAATTAACATCTTACTCCAACTTTTTTTGATAAGCCTATTTGACTTTTGTGTACCATCAAAGGTAGGTTCATAAAGAATGGAAATTAAGCACGTATGTGCAGTGGACGGTGGAAAAGAGATATAATAGTAGAAAATCAAGAGGCACGAAACTAAAGGGGTGACTGCATGACACATTCAGTAAACTTGAGTTCACTGACTGGAATATGGTGCTTCTACACACCTAGAAGTAAAGCTAGAGGGACTCAAAAGCCATATCAAGAGAGGTCTTAGATGCCAAGAGTTAAAATTCTTAATCCCACAAGTATTTAGTGATCTGAAAGTGCTAACATTGAGACAAAAGAGAAAGATAAAATTGATGATATGGCTGATCATTGGAATGATCAATTGAAAAAGTATTAGGGGCCAGTGCTATGGCGTAGCAGGTAAAGCTGCTGCCTGCAGTGCCAGCATCCATATGGGCACTGGTTCATGTCCCAGCTGCTCCACTTCCAATCTAACTCTCTGCTGTGGTCTGGGAAAGCAGTAGAAGATGGCCCAAGTCTTTGGGCCCCTGCCACCTGTGTAGGAGACCTGGAAGAAGCTCCTGGCTCCTGGCTTTGGATCGGTGCAGCTCCGGCCATTGCAGCCAACTGGGGAGTGAACAAGTGGATGGAAGACCTCTCTCTGCCTCTCCTTCTCTCTCTCTGAAACTCTCTTTCAAATAAATAAATAAATCTTAAAAAAAGAAAAAAATGGCCGGTGCCGCGTCTCACTAGGCTAATCCTCCGCCTGTGGCGCCGGCACCCTGGGTTCTAGTCCCGGTTGCCCCTCTTCCAGTCCAGCTCTCTGCTGTGGCCAGGGAGTGCAGTGGAGGATGGGCCAAGTCCTTGGGCCCTGCACCCACATGGGAGACCAGGAGAAGCACCTGGCTCCTGGCTTCAGATCAGCGTGGTGCACTGGCCGCAGCGCACCAGCCGCAGCAGCCATTGGATGGTGAACCAACGGAAAAGGAAGACCTTTCTGTCTCTCTCTCTCTCACTGTCCACTCTGCCTGTCCAAAAAAAAAAATAAAAAAATTATTATGTTTACTAATTTTGGCATGTTACACTCACTTTCCTCAAAAAAAAAAAAAGGATAAATGGAAAGATACATCTGGATGGGACTAATAAGAAAATTGAATATTCAGTGGGGAGGATTTGTTTCACCAAATGATTATAAAGTTTATTTTGCATGATTAAAGCAGCTGTTAACATTGTTAAGGAAGAGGATAATGATGGAACCTTACTATCCAAGTAATACAGTGTGATTATCCTAGGAATTGACATCTTTGAAACAAAATTGTAACTGGACCTATATGTTTATAAGAATTTAGTATGTCATTGTCCCTTCAGTGTGGGAATGTTAATTCAATCTTTACATATAATTTACAGATGCATTAAACATGAATACACATTGATGTTGATATTAGCATTTTAACAGCAAAAAAGGTTGAACATGCTGTGGAAAACTGGCCTAAAAAGTTAACTGCCAATTGTTGAAAAAAGAAACTAGTAAACATGGGAAAAATCTATTTTGATTAAAAATCAAAGTTAAGAATCAGATATTGAGTTCATTGATAAAAGAAATAATTCTCAGTGGGACTGTCAAACTCACAAACTGCTTGCAGGAGCGCAGCTCACTAACTTCCTGGAGGGTTAATTTGACAACAGGTGCTGAGAATCAGAAGAGGGAGCAGATCAGGGACTGAGCATTTACAAACCCCAAGCATGTATTTGTGGAGTGGATATGTGGTGTAGTGGGTAAAGCCACCGCCTTTGGTGCCGGCCTCCCACATGGGTGCCAGTTTGAGTCCCTGCTGCTCCAATTCTGATCCAGCTCTCTGCTATATTCTGAGAAAGCAATGGAAGATGGCCCAAGTCCTTGGACCCCTGCACCCGTGTGGGAGACCCAGGAGAAGCTCCTGACTCTGGATCAACACAGCTCCAGCTGTTTCAGCCATTTGAGGAGTGAACCAGCGAATGGAAGTCCTTTCTCTACCTCTGCCTATCTGTAACTTTGCCTTTCAAATAAATCTTAAAAGAAAAACAAAAAGAATGTGTTTGCTTTTTCAGAGGGTAACATGGAATGCACAGCCCTCATAAGCAAAGGGTAGAAAGAACTGAAACTTAACAAATAACTTAACAAAAAGAGGAAGTAGTTACAGAACTCAACCTGATCAAGCTAAAAAAGAACAAGTGTGGGTTAGGAACCACCAGATTCAGCAGCATTAACAATCACCAAGGAAGTAGGCCAGAAATCAATGACTGAGATAAGGAAACCACTTTAACTCCTACTCCTACTTAAAATCAATAAGTAATTGAATAGGCTGTTGTTCTATGAATTTATTTATTTATTTATTTATTTATTTATTTATTTATTTATTTTACAGGCAGAGTGGACAGTGAGAGAGAGAGACATAGAGAAAGGTCTTCCTTTACCGTTGGTTCACCCTCCAATGGCCACTGCGGCCGGCACCCTGAAGCCAGCGCACCTCGCTGATCCGAAGCCAGGAGCCAGGTGCTTCTCCTGGTCTCCCATGTGGGTGCAGGGCCCAAGGACTTGGCCCATCCTCCACTGCACTCCTGGGCCACAGCAGAGAGCTGGACTGGAAGAGGGGCAACCGGGACAGAATCCAGCACCCCAAAAGTGACTAGAACCCGGTGTGCCGGCGCTGCAAGGCAGATTAGCCTATTGAGCCGCAGCGCCAGCCTATGAATGTTTGATTAATAGGGAACTATGATCAAATTGTCATTGCCATGGATCACTCTAAATCAAAACACTATATGCTCTTCCACACCTGTAGTTTATTGTGGGTTATTATGACCTGACCTTTTGCCTCTGAAAAGCCCTTCACCACGTTGCTACCATTCTGGAATTTTGTGATTACAGTTAAGATCGGGACACTTGTTTCTATTGCAGCAGATTTTACTACTGTCTCTAGTGTCTACAGAAAACATACTACAAAGCTCTTCAAGATGCCTTTGCCCCTCTTTCAAAAAAATTAATTCTTTGGCAAAAAAGAGTAATGGTACATCTATTCTAATATTCCATCACCTTGCCTCTTTGACATCTTTGTCTATGGTATGCCAGAGAAGTTATGTTATTGGGAGCAGTCCAAGTTTGTCTCCAGGATTTAATGAGTAACTTCACAGAATAAGCTGCTCTTTCTGAGGTTCAAGGCAATATATTAAATTCCAAGTCTCAAATGTTTGCACCCCTAACAGTGAATTCACCTCAA